AGCTGTGATTTCGTTGTTACTAGGGCAAGGAGGGAATAACATTCTTGTAGGAGTGAGGAAGAGCCAGTTGTGAGTGTGAGGGAAGTTCGTGAGGCAGTAGAGAAAATGAAAGGGGGTAAGGCAGCCGGGATTGGATGAGATAAAGATAGAAAGTTAATAAGCAGGTGGGGATATAGTTTTTGGAGTGGGTTGGTGCAAGTATTAATAAAATGTATGGAGAGGTAAGGTACCTAGGGATTGGCAGAGAGCCATGCCTAGTTCCTTTGATAAAGGCAAAAAATGGATAAAGAGAGTGCAAAAATTATAGGGGGATAAGCTCTGTTGCGAGTATACCTGGTGTAAAGTGTATGGTAGAGTTATAATTGAAAAAGAATTAAGGTAAGAGGGAGATAGGATAGCTGATGAACAAGGAAGGCTTTAGGAAAGGTAGCGGGTGTGTGGACCAGGGTGGTTTACAGTGAAACATATAAGCTGTGAACAGTTTTAGATAGGCTTAAAGAGGTCTTTGTGGCATTTATGGTTTTGGAAAAGGGGTGATGGGACAGGGTGGATAGGGGGAGTTATTATAGGGAGGGGCAATGTTGGCCAGATGTTGCAGAGTGTATGGTGTAGGAGGTAGGTTACTGAATGCAGAGAAGAGTTTTTTACGAGGATAGGAGGCTCAAGTTAGAGTATGTGGAAAGAGGGAAATTTTTTACCCCTGTTAAAAGTAGGCCTCTAGACAAGGTGTGTGATGGTCACCGTGGGTTGTTTAAATATTTATAGATGGGGTTGTAAGGAGAAGGAAATGGAGGGTCTTGGCAAGAGCTTGTAGAGTTAAAAAGATAAAGAACTCCCACACACAAAGTGGGAGTTTTGGGGGTTTTCCCAAAAAACAGCTGCTCCTTGCTGATGCACTTTGTCTTGGGAGTTCTGAAGAGAAGTTGCACAGAGATTGGTGGATTGAATTTGGTATTAGGGTATGAGTGTGTGCAAAAGAAGAAAATTAAAGGTGAATCAGGAAAGAGTTAGGTTATGTAGGATAACAAAAACATTAGGTGATGAAAGATAGGATATCAGATTGGACGGGAGAGAGAGAGTATGGAGGAGGTGACAACGTATTCAGAGATTTGGGAGTGGGACGTGTCAGCGGATGGGTCGATGAAAGATGAGGTGAATTCATAGAAATTGATGACGGGACAAAAAGAGTGAAGTGTGCACTTTAGGGTTGTGGGACAAAGAACTTTGTCTTCTTGGAGGCAAAGAGGGGAAATGTATGAGAGTATAATTTTACCAACGCTCTTATATGGGTGTGAAGCGTGGGTGATGAATGTTGCAGCGAGGAGAAGGCTGGAGGCAGTGGAGATGTCATGTCTGAGGGCAATGTGTGGTGTGAACATAATGCAGAGAATTCGTAGTTTGGAAGTTAGGAGGAGGTGCGGGATTACCAAAACTGTTGTCCAGAGGGCTGAGGAAGGGTTGTTGAGGTGGTTTGGACATAATAAATATACATAAATATATATATATATTTTTTTATTTATTATCACGCTCCCATTATCATTTACACCTGGCACCCCAAACTTACCTACCACACCCTCTCTAAAAGTTTCTCTACTTTGCATTCCAGGTCCCCTACCACAATTTACTCTCTCATTGTTCAAGGATCCTATACATTCACTTATCATCACCAAAATCTCTCTTCTCCTCTACATTCCTCTCTTCTCCAGGTGCTTACACAGCTTATTATGACCCACTTTTCGATCCAACCTTTACTTTAATCCAAATAATTATTGAATTTACACATTCATATTCTCTTTTCTCCTTCCAAAACTGATCCTTCAACTTTACTGGCTACCCCTTCCTTTGCCTCCTATCGAGCACTCCAGATACTCCAGATTTAAATCCCCTTTATTTTCCCCCCACCGTAACTCCACTACCCCCTTCAGCTTTGTTTCGCTTAGGGCCAGGACATCAAACTTCTTTTTCATTCATAACATCAGCATCATTGTTTCTTGTCATATGCACTACATCCACGCACATTCAAGCATCCCGGTTTTATAAAGTTTTTTTCCTTCTCTTTTTAGTAAATGTTACAGGGAGAAGGGGCTACTAGCCCATTGCTCACGGCCATTTTTAGTCGCTCTCATACGACACGCATGGCTTACGGAGGGAAAGATTCTTATTCCACTTCCCCATGGACAATAGAAGAAATAAAGAAGAACAAGAGCTATTTAGAAAAGGAGAAAAACCTAGATGAATGTATATATGATTATATATATGCATGTGCAGTTGTGTCGGGAAGTGAGACCAAAGTGTAAGTAGGAAGTAGCAAGATATCCCTGTTATCTAGCGTGTTTAATATATATATTTTTTTTTTTTATTATCAACTCTGGCCGATTCCCACCAAGGCAGTGGTGGCCTGAAAAGAAAAACTTTCACCATCATTCACTCCATCCACTGTCTGCCAGAAGGAGTGCTTTACACTACAGCTTTAAACTGCAACATTAACACCCCTCCTTCAGAATGCAGGCAATGACTTCCCATTCCAGGACTAAGTACGCATGCCCGGTTCCCTGAACCCCTTCATAAATGTTACATTTGCTCACCACTCCAACCAGCACGTCAAGTATAAAAACCATTTGTCTCATTCACTACTTTCAAACACGCTCACGCATACCTGTGGAAGTCCAGGCTCCTCGCCAGCACAAAACCTCTTTACCCGTTCCCTCCAACCTTTCTAGGACGACCCCTTACCCCGCCTTCCTTCCACTACAGACTGATACTCTCTCTGAAGTCATTCTGTTTCGTCCCATTCTCTCTACATGTCTGAACCCACTCAACACCCTTCCTCAGCACCTCTGGACAACCAGTTATGGTAATCCGCACATCCTCTAACTTCCAAACTACGAAATTTCTCTGGATTATATTCCTACCACACATTGCCCTCAGACATGACCTCTCCACTGCCTCCAGCCTTCTCCTCGCTGCAACATTGCATCACCCATGCTTCACCCCCATATTAAGAGCGTGTGTAAAAACTATACTCTCCATACTTCCCCTCTTTGCCTCAGGACAAAGTTCTTTGTCACCTCAGAATCCTAAGTGCCACCACTCACTCTTTTTCCTCATCAATTCTATGATTCTCCTCATCTTCATAGACCCATTCCGCTGACACGGTCCACTCCCAAATATTCTGAATACATTCCACCTCCTCCATACTTCTCCTCCACTCTGATTTCATCTTTCATCACCTAATAATTTTTTTTGTTATCCATCATAACCTTACTCTTTCCTGTATTCACCTTTAAGTTTTCTTTCTTTTGCACACCCTACCAAAATCCACCAATTCTGCAATTCTCTTCAGATCTCCCAAGAGCACACAGCTGTCTTCAGCAAGAGGGGGGGGGGAACAGCAGGTGACAACTCCCACTTTGTGTGTGATTCTTTATCTTTTAACTCCACGCCTCTTGTCAAGACCCTCGCATTTACTTCTCTTACAACCCCATCTTAAATATATTAAACAACCACGGTGAATCACACATCCTTTCTAAGGCTACTTTTACTGGGAATAATTTCCCTCTTTCCTACATACTTAACTTGAGCCTCACTATCCTCGTAAAAACTCTTCAATCCTATGCTTACTCAACTGTCAATACGTTATAACCTACCTCCTACACCTTACACTTGCAACCATCTGCCCACATTGCCCCCTATCCACCCGGTCATACGCATTTTCCACAAATCCATAATTGCCAAAAAGACTCTTTAGCCTTATCTAAAATACTGTTCATTAGATTGTATATATTAATATTTATATATATATACAGTTGGGACCCCGGTTAACGATATTTTTTCACTCCAGAAGTATGTTCAGGTGCCAGTACTGACCGAATTTGTTCCCATAAGGAATACTGTGAAGTAGATTAGTCCATTTCAGACCCCCAAACATACACGTACAAACGCACTAACATAAATACACTTATATAATTGGTCGCATTCGGAGGTGATCGTTATGCGGGGGTCCACTGTATATCTATCTATCCCAAGTGGAACAATGTCAGGCTGGGAGTACATAAACACAATAACCTAACTCATGAATCCTTAACTTTTTCTCATTTGCTTCACTAATTTTGCCAGTATGACAAAACAGGCACTTCCCTTTTATGTCCATCAGTCATTAGTGATGAAATCTTCAATGAACTGCCATGTACATAAGTAACAATAATAACTTTTGAAAGGGGAAAAAAACAAAAAGGGCAGGGGTAACTATAGGGAAAACAGTGCAAATCACCACCCTACATATGGTCTGGTTGAAATAATGGTAGCTTGATTTCAAGCCAGTAAGTGCATAGTAATAAAACTGGGTGCAGGGAAAGGCAAAGTAAAAACAGAATATTACATATTACAGAAACAAACATTAAGACAACTTTTAAAAATCTAAAGTACCATTTACCAGATCAGACCAAGCAGAGTCTACTGCACCAGTATGAAATCCTCACTTAACCAAACATGGAGCAAAACATGGAATATTCACTGGTACGCCTCTAGTCTGGTGCTAAAGCAGCATGGCATGAGCTGTAAAAGCAGAAAAGAAAAATCTGCACGACCTAGAGTTTATAACAGAAACACGAGCGAAGCCTAACAACTAACAAAATAATATAAATGTTAAGAGGCATTTCTTTCACTGATTTTAGTTAAGTAAAAAAAAAAAAATTGGACGCTTCAATGTGGGGGGACAGCAGACTGCCCACAAAGATGATCAATGGAGTTGGTGCAGTTAGCTAAGGTGCTGGGCCTGGTAATTCTAAGACCGAGAATGAAGATTTGACCTAGTTCATTGCCATATGAAGGATAGAGCTACTTTACAACAAAAAAATAAAAGTCAAAAGGCATGCCAAAAAGCAGAAGTGTACCCAGTGTAAGCTGGAAAATTAGTCATTCATTAAAATAATAAATGTTAGACCTCCTACTTGTAAAATTAACTAACCATATCCAATGCTTTGTTTCCAGTGTGAACTTACTGTTTGAATATTGCAAGATGAAAGGCTGCTGGAGAATAAAAGCCACAAAGAGTACTGAATTGTTGCACCAAATTAAACTCATGAGGATGGCAAAATTGGGTACTGCACTCACCACCATCCCAGTCATTATTACCAGTATCAACCGCATGATGTTCTGTTAGTAGTAAAAAGGCAAAAAAAATTATAGAACTTCATCACATCAATTATTATCATACTGTATTAAAAAATAAGTGTTAAACCCTTACAGGCCATGTACGTATGTAATAATTACCTTTTTTGTAAATACCAGTACCTACAATATTTGTAGCTACACCTACAGAAGCAGAGCCATGCTCATGGTGTTCCATCTCCAATACACTGTTCATTATACACTCATTGGCCACTTTATTAGGTACATTCTTCTAATACTGGGAAGGGTCCCCTTTTTCCTCAGAACAGCCTGAATTTAACAAGGTGCTTACCTGGAGAGGGTTTCGGGGGTCAATGCCCCCATGACCCGGTCTGGGACCAGGCCTCATGGTGGATCAGGGTCTGATCAACCAGGCTGTTACTGCTGGCCACACGCAAGCTGACGTACGAACCACAGATCGGTTCGGTCATGTACACACTCGCCGCCCCAACCCCCCCCCCCCCCCCCCCGACTTTTAGGCGCCTATCCAGTGCCTTCTTAAAAACAGCCAGAGGTCTATTGGTAATCCTCCTTATGTATGCTGGGAGCCAACTGAACAATCTTGGGCCCCTGTGTACCTGTGGCACCCCTGCTTTTCATCAGGGAAATGTTGCATCTCCTGCTGAGTTTTTTGCCTTTCATAGCGGAGTGATTTTGTGGGTGCAGATTTTTGTTTACCAATCCCTACAGGACCTCAAAGTGTATATTATCATATACCCCTCTCACCTGCTTTGAGGGAATTACAGATCAAGGACCTTCAAACCGTTTCCTGTTAGCTTAGGTTGCCTTTATCGTAATTGTGTGTGCCATGATAGATCTTTGTACAATCTCAGGTCTGTGCAATGTTGCACCAGCCTTTGAAGGGCGGTGTTAGTGTTACAGCCACAGTATTTCCAGCCTAGGAGAGCACAAGCGATTTAAAGAGAATCATCATGGGCTTGGCATCCATAGTTTTGAAGTGTTCTCCTTTTCCCCCATCCTATTCATTTTTCCTAGCGGATGAGGTTAGATACAGTGTTGTGGTCTTTGAGGCGAGATCCTTTGACATTAAATCACTCCTAGGTCCTTCACATTACTTTTTCTGCTCTATTGTATGCGTTAGAATTTGTTGCATACCCTGACACATTTTTAATTTCTTAAAGTTTACCTTATCTGGTAGTTAAAATTTCTCCTCGTTGAAACTTCGTAATGTTTTGAGTTGGCCATTTGAAAGATTTGGTATGATGTCCGCTTGGAGTCTCAGGGTGTCTTTGATGGAGGTCCACTTCCATGGTTATCCGAGTGTCACCGCCAAAGGAAGCAAGGCGCTAGGCTCTTACATTCTCTATGTCAGAAATGAGGATGAGGAAAGATAGAGAATGGGAAGCTTGTACTGTGTCATGTGGAACAGAGCTTTTTACCGTGGATGCCTGGACCTTACTCTGTTTACTATTACTCTGTGTTCTATTTGTCAGGAAGTTATAGTTCATTCTACAAATTTTCCGTTATTCTTTATCACGGCTTTGTGTTGCTATTACACCATGGACACACTTGTCGAAAGCTTTTGCAAAGTCTATGTATACTACATCTGTATTTTGTTTATCCTCTAGAGCATCCAGGACCTTGTCATAGTGGTCCAATAGCTGGGACACGCAGGAGTGACCTGCTCTAAACCAGTGTTGCCCTGAGTTGTGTAATTGATGGATATCTAGGTGGTTGGTGATCTTGCTTCTTAGAACACCCTCTCAAAGATTTTTATTGATGTGGGTGTCTATTGTTAGTGCTATCGGTTGTAGTTCTTTGCAATTGCTTGTACTGCCACTGGTGTGGAAGCATCCTTAGAGATTCGGGTCCATGTTGATATTTGATTGCCATCAGGAAGTTGCTACAGAGCTGTCAAGCTGCACATTCATGCTGTAAATCTCCCATTCCATCACATAGCAAAGTTTTATGCCAAATTGTGACCCTACCATCTGCATTTTGCAGCAGAAATCACAGTATTTTAATGCCAGGACAGGTGATGTTTTTCCTATCTTCAACTGTCAGGTTTTGTAAGCTTACACACAATGTAGCCTCAGTTTCTGTTATTATCTGACAGGTATGAGCCCAGTGTGGTATGCTCGCTGTAGCCCTTTTTAACTTCTCTAGGTTCGATGTGTTGTGTGTTCTGATTATGACTTTTCTGCATAACTACTGTTCTAAATAATGTTTATTAAGCTACTGTTGCTGCCTGTCAAGTTTGAACCCAGTCTGGCCATTCTCCTCTGACCTTCTCTGATTATCACAGGCATTTTGGCCCACTGAACTGTCACTTCATTGTTGTTCAGTTTTTACACACCAAACCGTTGTAAAACTCTTAGGAGACTGTTTGTGCATGAAAAATACCTGGAGATCTGGCAGTTTTGAGATATCAGAAACTGCTAATCATTTTGAAGGTTGCATAGATATACATTTCTTCCCTATTCTGATATTTCATCTGAATAAACAACCTGAATACCTCTGACCCATGTTTCGCTAGGCTTTTAGGCACTGAGGTACTGTTACATAACTAAACTGCTAAGATTTTGCATAAACAAGCAGGTTAGGCAGGTGTACCTATATAAAGTCGTAAATTTCTTAAAATTTCCAAATAGTTGAGCAACTAATTCCTTCCTTTAATGACAAACTCTGGCCTCTAGATTAATATGTTGCAGCTATAAGAATAATCTTCTTAGTTCTCATGTCCTTTCAAGACCTAATCTGTGGTTATCATGTTTCCTCTTTTCTTGATATCAATCAACATGGGCATCTTCAATGTTTTCATATTGCTCAACTCTGCCAGCCATTTTCTAATATGTGTGTGTTTATTTTGGTGTGGGCACCACACAAATACTGCATATTCCAATTTTGGCCTAATATAGGTTGTAAACAATTTTCTTAACATTTCACCATCCATATATTTGAAAGCTATTTTATAGTTTGCTAGTGTAGCATACAAGTTTCTCACAATTCCATTTATATGATCTTCCGGTGATTTTTTTTTTTGCTAACAACTCCTAGACCCATTTCTTTTTCTGACACTTTCAATATTTTGTCACAGAGTCTATATTAACATGATCTGATTTCACTTTCTCCATTTCCATTACATGGAATTTATCTACATCATGTTCCAATCAAAACACTAATAATAATAATAATATCTTTATTTACATGTACATGGTATACAGGCCAAGCTGACATCAGTGACATACTACTATATAGAAAGCCCCTTGTTATAGTGAGCATTTCAGGCAAATTAGGTCAGTGTCCCAGGATGCGACCCACACCAGTCAACTAACACCCAGGTACCCATTGTACTGATGGGTGAACATAGATAACAGGTATAAAGAAACATGCCCAATGTTTCTACCCTGGCTGGGAATTGAACCCAGACCCTCATTAATTTTACGTAAGATCTTAGCATCATCTGCAGACATTCATATTTTCTATTCCTTCTGGTAAATCATTGATATAAATTAGACACATTGTTGCAGCAAGCACAGAATCTTGTGACACTCCACTTGTGATACCCTCCCATGCAGACATTTTTCCTCTTATTACTGTTTGCATTTTTTTCTCAAAGTCATTGTAACAATTTACCTTTAATTCCTCTTGTATTTTGTGTTTTCCAAGTACGTTTTTCATGGAGAACCCCTTGAGGGTCTGTGCTGTAGATCTACGGCTTTACGTTCAGGGTCCAAACTGTAGATCTACGTCATGAGCTCAGCTCACTCTAATAAGCTGTGAGCAGTAAATTTGGGCCTAGATTCGAGAGAATACATCTATGTGGTATGTGTGCACCACATAAAACAAATCCTGCAGCACACAGTGCATAATGAGAGAAAAAAAAAAACTGAGACCATAATTTTCGATTAAAACAGCAACTTTGCAGTGTTTTTTCGTATGTTTTTTATAGTGGTATTTGCGATTTCTTAGTCTCATTTGATAGAATGGAAGATATATTACAGAAATAGAGATGATTTTGATTGGTTTTAGTACTGAAAATGGTTTGAAACTGAGCTCAAAGTAGAAGAAATGTTAAATTTTTGCCAATGTTCAAGAATAAACAAATGACCTCACATGTCTAATACACGCCAGCTGGTGGGTCTAATATATGTTCACAAATGTGCTGATATTATTTATACAATTATTACAATATTGCATGACAGTAAATCTTCCATTTTTTGGTTTGAATAAAAATTCATTATGTGAATTAAAAATGAAAATGGAATTCATTTGTAAAGCCACAATTATCTCTAAGCAGAGTTCAAAGTCCTGAAGTCACTCCCTCCAAGCCTTACCTATAAGGTTTATGCAATGGAGGATACTGAAGTGATCTTTCCAGAACTTTCTTGGGGTCAATTCAGTGTCTGAGGTCACTTCAAAGCACTTTTGAAATACTGCTTTGGTGTATAGTTTTTTGAAGTTTGAAATGATCTGCTGGGCCATGGGCTGGAGGAGGAGTGGTATTAGGAGGCAAGAACTTCACTGTGATGAAACGAAACTCCTGCATCATTTTCTCTTCCAAGTCTGGAGGATGAGCAGGAGCACTGTCCATTACCAGGAGGCACTTGAGTGCCAATTTATTTTCCAGGAGTATTTCTTCACACTGGGGCCAAACACTTCATTAAACCAATCAAGGAAAATGTCCCTCGATGGGTGGTGCTAACCCTGAGGAGCCTATGCCAACTGAGGAAAGTACTGTGGCATTGGGGAATTCATGGGGATGGATGGGAGTTTCGAGGATATGGAAGAGTTGGTGGAGGACTCACGATGAAGATCTAACCAACTACAGAACTGCAAGGCCTTCATGTGCAACAGCAACAGACCACAGCTCAGGAAATTGCTTTAGAGGAGGAGGACGAGAGATGGAGGAAGGTGCCTTCTTCCATGATTAAGAACATTTGTGCATACATTTATGGATGAACTTCACCCTGACAAAGCTGTTGCAGGCCATATTGGCAACATGTACAATGGCAATGTTGTGT